GTCTCTTAATTTCATCTGTAAAAATTCGAAACTGAAAAATGAGTCTACTATCCCCGGTCTCCCCTATATTTGACTATATATACTTTGAGTTATGCAAATTTAAACAATAACATATAGATATAAATAAATAAATGATATAAAAAAAAAGATATAAAAAAAAAATGTTTATAACTTGGAAAGAAAGTGTTTCAGAACCCATGTTTATATGATTTTTTTTCATTCTTACAATGAATGGAATATGCTCTTAAAGTTTGGCCAATTATTTCTGAAACACCCTGTATATATATATATATATATACAATCAATTAATCCGTAAATATATTTTATGTATAAAAACATAATCCTCATATAAAAAAGGCTTTAAATCGTTCCGGACACTTTACATATTTTTTTTAATATTTCCAAGTTTTATCATCTACAATTATTCTTAAAAATGTAACAGCAATAAAAAGATGGCGATTTCCTGATGTATGTAATTTAGTCTACTACTCAGTGATAATACAACGACAATGACAAATTTACCACATATCTTATTACCTCTGGTACACTGGAAGAGAAGAATGGCGACACACAGAGGATCAGTAAGCAAAGAATAATTTATTCTCATGAAACGTAGTTCACGGGGTTAATCGAATACTCGTGTCGTGGACGGTTTAGCGTCCTGGTGCTAACCACCACGGACGTTTAGTCCTCGAGTGCCGTTCTTCTCTCCTTGCAATACGTACGCGGGTGCGGGTATGTACGACCAAGCCAACGTGGTGAGTAACCAACGATCACATACGCCTACGAGATAAGGCAGATTGTTTGTCAAAGCCTTGCCGATTCGTCTTGCCGTGCCAACTTCAACAGACGTATATTGTCACCTCGCCCACATGCATATGAACGAGATTTTCTCTCTACACCGTGTGTCATCGCTTGCCTTCTCAAGGATGCATTTATTTATTCAGTACCGCTGTCCAGCTGTGTTTGAAATACGAAGAAAGTGTACCCTGTATGATAACAAGCATGTAATAATATTGTGTGTAGAGATTATAACGTATATAGGTACATACTTCGATTTTCTTTTCAAGTATTTAACATCTTGAAAGTCGACAGCAAAACTGTCCTAAAAATGCAGATTGTGAGACAAACCTAACATTTATTTATTATAAACGAAAAATCAATGTTTTTCTTTTATTTTTATTATATCTCTCGCTCAATCTTAAAACAAGTCATGTTCGTTGTTGAAGATACAAAATAAATTATCTTGTACAGTACATATATATATCGCGATTAACCATTTGTTATTTATGATCAAACTAGGGCGTACCTATAGTTCATTAAGTTTTTATATGCCGTCGCACTATAGCAAAAGTTCTCACATTCGTTGTAAAGAATGCAAACATAAATCTCTCAAGTGAGATACTATAAAGTTTATTTACGTAACACGTTACACGTGGAGTGTTATATCCGTGTATTGGAAATTTAATGCTCTGTTCATGAATGCTCAAGACGTTATGACTCGACGTTGAAGTTTATATTTGCATCTATGTTAATCTCCATTAGCAAAACATATTAAGCAATTATTAATAATAATTAATGTTCTATTTTTCAAATTAATTTAATATTTATATCCAATGTTATATTATAGATGCAGTACTATTAATGTCTATACTATAGATTACTGTTACTTACACTGTTAAATCTATAGTGTCAAATTTAACTTAACGTGAGTCACCACTGCTCCTACTAAATATATCGTTATTTTTTACCAAAACGATAGTTAAATTTGACACTGTATAATGTCAAATATAACCATTGTTTTAGTATAAAATAACGATATGATTGAGTAGGAGCAGTGGTGATTCACGTTAAGTTAAATTTGACACTATAGATTTAACAGTGTATTATTAAGTGAAAATCGACTGATGAGATTAAACATATATGAGTGAAAAATATCATATTCAATCAAAACGGTTCTTCATTCTGCCTAACAATATTTTTTGTGAATTTATACAATTTCCAGTTCAAGCTAACTCCACGCGCAGTCTATATGAAACAAAAGGAGAGATGACGGTAGACAAAATCGATCGAAATGTGCAACCCGGCTCCATCCTGATTTAGATTATAAAAGCATAGATATAAAAATATATATATAAATATCAATATAAATATATTATTATATATCCATAAATAATAGTTTACTTATAAAATAAAAGAATGTAAATTAATCTGTGTATAAAATTATGTTATAAGTATGATAGTCTCTGCTTTAACAGGTACATGTGTGTGTGATAAAATTACAGATATCGTACTTCAGATTTAATATCAAATATATGAAACTATCGAATTAATTACTCATTTTTGATTTTCAATTAAACGTCATTCGAATGTATACGTTTTTCATGACTTATAAGCAATCGTTTCTAGGAAATAATTTGGATGGCATAATCATTCATTTCTTGCTTGAAGGAGACAGAACGAGCACTGTATCCTTTCATTAACTTTTTGTTTAGAATATGAGCATCGAATGCTAAGCGAAGTGGCAAGATGGAGTAAATTCCGTCGCGCAAGGGTAGTGAAGACGTATGGTGTCACTTTCCATGTTGTTATAAACGTTGTTTTGAGTTACAAGAAATTATGCACAAGGCACAGATGCAACCCGTCAGCCGAGCTGTCAGCCGCTAATGGCGGCATCATACATTCTACGTAACGTAGCGTGGCGTCGTAATTATTATTAATAGTAGCTCGTATATTCCGCAAACAGAAGTGGAGATCGTTTTAAAATGCGCGAGCCTAGAACTAATTTTATGTCACGCATACTGTCGGTGCAACCGAGTAATTGTACGGAACAAAAGATTGATATTTATGAGCCAGTTCGCGGCAGAAATGCAAATCGTGCGATACGGCTGTTTTATATAGCTGCTGTGAATTAGAATGTATGTTAAATTTTTTTTCTTTATTTTTGATTGAGATAAAATCAAAGACAAAAGTACATGGAAGCAAGTATGTGATACATGATAACGTGATTTGTAATATCGCAGAGAATTTACGCGCTTCTGAAATTACGAAATTATTGAAGAATAAAAAGCACTCAATAAAGCGATCTCTATTATCATTTATAATTATCATTCTTTCTTATCCTCGAGATGAAATGATATCTTCTTCACGATGAATCGCATGCAATAGAAACCTATACATTATTTTTCTACTTTACGTTTTTTCTCATTCTTGCACAATAAGAAAAAATTTAGAAAAACCACCGAAAAATACAACTTCATTGCAATTAATCATAAAAAGAATTTAAATAGGAATATATACACAATACACAATATAACAAGGAATATATATACAAAACATATAATCATTTTTTAAAAGAAATAAGAATTACTTTAGAATTACTTTTAAATATTTTTATAACTGTATATAGTATATATGTCGCTTTGAGAGTTTATCACTAATTCTTTAAAAGTCTCAGTTAACATAAGTTAACAACCGCTTCCAATGACAGATTGCAAATGAGAATGAATTCTATATAAATATACCATTTTTACTAATTAAGATTTATTCTAAATATATAACTTTCAATTATATTTTTAAATAAATTGATAAAATTTTTGAATAGATAAGATTGAAGAAAATTTGATATTTTTAAATCTAATTCGAACTCCTTGGATAAAATTTACCCTACTCTTTGCGCATTGCACATTACACTTTTCCTCGAGAGTTTGTATCAGGTCACATTGAGAAGAATTACAGCACGATATAATACACTCGTAACGAGAAAGTAATCATAAATCATTCAAAATAATGTGAACTTTATTAATCGAATTAGAAGAGAGCGGTGATACCACATTCTTATCATTGCCGAATATATCATTGCGTGACCGCTTGTCAAGATATTTATTCATCTGTGGAATATCAGAAATGAAGATCTGAATGTACTAAGAATAAAAATATTGATTTTCACGTAGTACACGCTAAAATATAATCGCTGAAAAGTTGTGGTAAACTATGCTCTGGCCTTAAACTGTTAATTTATTCAAAATTTATAGCACTCTCATAAACGCATTTTTTTTTTCAGTTCTTTCTAGCATGATTGCAACATAAACGAATAAGAGGATAGATTGCTTTTCTTACACACAAAATAGTTTGTATTTAATTAAATTAATTTAGTTGCCTTTATCTCTTTTGTTAAAGAATATATGTATTTAAATTAAATATAATATATTTGATTCCTGAGTTAATATTTATAAATATGCGTTCTTCATCAAAAGAAATAAAGATGAACTAAATTAATATAATCAAATGCACGATTTTATTTTAATGTACAATACTACATTATCAAGAAACACTCGTATGTATCTTGATCAGTGATAATCAAAGAGAAAGAAAGTTAGTTACAGAACAAAACAATTTTATATATTTCTTACGGCTTACATAGAAGCTATTTGGTAAGTATAGCAATTCAACAGGAGGTAAATGTACTTGGACGAATTATAAGTAAAAGCAGTACAAAAGTATATATTACGACGTATAATTTGTATAACGTGTATAAAATTATATGCCCCTCATATAATTGCAGATGAATTTTTTAACCTTTTTGAAACGATCGCTGAATACAAGCAACTTGAAATGGTTCTACAATGTCGATCTTTAAAGAGTTAAGATAATAAGGTGTGATTAATAAAGAAAAGAAGGAGGCGAACAGCGTTACGGATTCACATGCGAATAAATTGAACGATATTGCTAAAGCACAATTACATATTTATCTCTTTCGCTCGAATATCATAAGAACTGATCCAAAAATATGATCATCGGGCCTCGGGGCCGATGTTATCTCGTGCCGTGGCATCGGCTGCCTACGCACGAACGTCCCCGCGTGACGGACATCTAAATGTACATGCGCGCAGCTGCGCTTCACACGCGGGACACCCACCGGCAATTATGCACGCATTGTAACGTACGAGGGCGAAAAAAAATTGTTCACGCGAAATAAGGGAATAAGTGAGTAAGTGAGCGAGTGAGTGAGTGAGTGAGTGAGAGAGAGAAGAAAGGAGAGAGCGCACACACGTGCAAGGAAACGCGACACAAGTCCATACGCACGTAAGTATGTATGTACGTAGGAAAGACAACTCCGAACTCTCCCGACTATTTGTCAACGGCTGAGAGACGGCTGCTGATTTCTCGCGACTTCTCTCGTCGCCTTGTGTACCGCGAATGCGAGTAAAAAGAGGCAGCGAAACATTGCTGCAAGGGAAGCCGCGAAGACATCGTTCTCCATTTCGCTCCCTTCCTCCGTCTCTTTCTCTTCTCGCGACGAGATGGTACGCGTTCTTCTCGCACGTGGATCGCAGGTACAAATCGTCGCGGTGAGATCAAAAACCGGCGCGTATTCGCCGCTAGTTCAAACACCGCGCTGAGCAGAAAGCCATGCACGCGCTCACGTGGTCAGATAATCCGCCGTATAATTTCATCGTCGCGAATGCAACACTGTGGATGGTGCATCGCGTACTATATCTGGACGGTGGTTAGGTTCTTGTTGAAGTAGAGACGCTTGCTTGAGGGGAAAATATAGAACACGGAGAATTTTTATGATTCCGCAGCGGCACGGTAAAGCGACGTGATGCGAATCATGCGGTTGGCAAAATCAATATTTCGGTCACTCGCGAAACTCGTAAAGATATTAATCCTTTGTAACTCTGCGACGTTGAGGCCGCGCTACGTCAGTGCAGCGTTAACGAGTATCTGCAGTTCGCAGATATACGATACTGCGAATTGTCTCGGGAAAATACATATTTTACTCCGAGGTGTAAATAGCAGTTAGTTTCTTTAACTGTCTAATAATAATGCCAGGGTAACATGAGCTCCATATAGGCTGCCGCTGCAGGTCGTTTGAAAGAACTCAAAGATTGTTTATCACGGTGTTGCCTCACAAAGAGAAAATCTCCGGCAACGTTCTATTACAAAGTGGCGACTATATTTTATCGTACGCCTCATTGATGAAATAATAAAAGCAGAAACCGGATAACACTCTCGCGCAAACGGTATTTAAGCAAGCCCCCGATAACAGTGACACACGTGAGCGTGGATAAGCGGTAATGCTTCATTCGACGTGGGCAAAAATAGAATTGCCGGCCCCGCTTAAAACTTACGTGCCTCCAAATGCCATACATTCTCAGGTTCTACCTCGCGGTCTAGTGGGAAGACATTTTTCTGCGGTCGGTTAAAATATGCCGAGACCCGCTTGATATCAGCCTTGCAAGGCTGCCTATGACAAAGAGATCTCGCTTAAAATCAGGTAGTAAAACCCGTTGTAACGTGACGTATTCAAACGCGCTCCCGACGAATCAACGACAGGCCGACTCTAAACCGGCTTCATATTTTGCAATTTCTATATTTGTGTTCCGGCGTGGAGCTTTAACGCGGCGCGTAATAACTCGGCAATGCAGGGAAAAACGGGACTTGCGAAATTTAAACGAGCCGGGCGCGATTAACGCGTTGTCCAGCTGCCAACTCAATCTTTCGCTAACCTAGGTAAAACGTGCGAGCGTATTTTATCTAGTTGTTGAATTATGCATGTACAGAAGATAAAGTGAGATAAAACGAAATTCTACAAGGTTGCAAAACAACCATCTAAGAATTCAAATACAGTCAAGAATTTTATTATATTACACGCGTATTCTTGTATATATATGTATACTAAAGCTAATCAAGAAGACAAGTTTGTCTACACTCCACATCCTGGACGATTATTTGAATATCACGGACGTGATATTCACGTAACAAAATGACGTTATTTTGTCTTCATTTTAACATCAAAATGTCAATGTCAGCTTGCTACCTATAAGTAACAGATTGTCGCTTCAAGCAAGTTCTTAATCTTAACCGATTCCTAATATTTTTTTTATATATCTTTTTTTCATTTTCATATATTATTTATAATATACACGCATTTTTCAGATTAACTTCAACGAATGTAAAATTTTTGATGTTTGTAATGGAAGAAAATTTGTTTCTCTTTATATAGCCAAACACGCCAAACATCTCCCGATCTGAATGGAAAGTCCAGTGTAGGTTACCGGTGACCCACGCGGCACGAAACGTGTTAACAATGTGCAAGCTTGTCAGGTGCACGATGTACGTTCTTTTTCTTTAACGGTAAGTTCTTTATTACGAACAGCATTATCCGAACAATGTGTACATTGGTTATTGCGTACATTCGGGAGACAGATGCACGCACTTTCCATCAGTCACGATCACAATCCTCATCGCCATCACGGTCATCATCATAATCCAGATCAGACCTTCGGGCAACAAATTTATCTTCGTTTAAGAATCTAAAAGCGGATAACGTATACGGAGAATCCATTGCAATGCAAGTAATACAAATTTTACATGGCCTTTGGCAACATTATATTACGGTTAAACATTTGTGGCAAGCTTTATTTAATACGTGGTTAGTATCGTTATGTAGATCGAAATGAAAAAAGTTATTATAAATGTATTATCATTTATCAATGTATATATATTGTGTACACACACATATATATATATATATACGTTGTGCTATATACGTTTGTGCTCAATTATTATATCAAATTATAATAACAGCAAAATTTGCTATAATTCAAAAATATACAATACACCAATGATTAATAATACCTAATGATACATGTTTTTATGCTAATATTTATTTCAAATTATTAACTATCAATAATTATTAACAGTCATATCAGTAGTTAATATAAAATAGTATTATAACTTTTTTATACATATATATATAAACATAATTATACCAAAAGAATTATACTGCGTGTATATTTTGAAAATGTACACCATGTATATTATTTTATTGCAAGCATATCATTTTCTTTCTTTTTCCATTTTTTGCGTATTTGTGCAATATGTCAGAACCACGTATATCAGAAAGATTCTCGTATATTATTTTCCATATTAGAGATAATTACTCAGAGTAATATGTACAAAGTAATGCATACAAGAACTTAGCATAACATATATGGCAATGGTTAACTGTTGGCATCTGCTTTAAATTCGAGAGAACCTCGTGTGATTCTTCGTGTAACCACGATTGTGGTATACGTTGTGCCTTCTGCCCGTCCTGCATATTTTCGCGTGTATACTCACACTCATTGTATGCCTGTTACAGGCATTACCTTAAACGTGCGCGCGAACCGAGTTTCCTACAGTTCTATAAATACTCACTTATACTGTATCAATCTTTTTAATAATGATATAAAGACAGCTGTTTTTATAATAGGACTTCTTCATACGTAATTAATTAAAAAAATTGTAATAAACTTTAAATCATAAAAATTTACACAAATAAAAGAACAAAAGAATACATAATGTTATGACATACAAAAACGTAAATTACAATAACTTTATTTTTTTATTAGTAAAAATGTTATATTTAATTCATAGTACAAAGTAAGATTCAAAATATTTTAAAATTTATGAGAAAATTTTCAGAAACTTAATGAAATTTTGAAATAATACAATATAATGATTAATTCAGACAATGAGTATTCATAGTAATGAATAACTGCATAGTAATTGCATAGCTTATCGATAACGTAATTAGCCGACATTTCTCTATACTCTATATATAGATAGAGGAGTGGAACACTATAGGGTATTATGAAATTCCAATTTAATAGATTTCCGATTAAGTAAACGCTCGTTTGTGTCTAATGATCTAAATTCCATTAGATCCCGTTCTAATTGTTATTCATGTTACATTACAGACAATTTCATTTATAGCTGGCTTTTTCGTGTGCGAGACAACTCGTTGATAAAGTTGTTTAAACACGTGGTTAATTAGCAAACTTCAATAAGTCTTTAATGAATGACGTATCCAATCGGTTTTACACACATGTTTAAGAAAACGTTCTTGACGTTAATATCATTAGCGTCGATATTATTAATGTCAAAAATACTCTTGAACATGTGTTTAAAACTGATTGGTTACGGTATTCATTAGAAATTTATTGAAGTTTGCTAATTAACCATATGTTTATGATCAGAACAAGATATGTAATTATGTTTTATCCCCTTTACATCTTTTTTTTATTTTTAATTTTAAATGACGATAATCAAATACAGTGCCTGAGATATAAATTAAATTAACTAAATTAACTATAAATTCAAATAAATAACTATAGCATTGAGAAAGCACAACTTCTTAATAATATCGCAACATTATTTAAAATCGTATATTAAAGTTGTACACTTAAAGAGTAATAATTAGTAAATAAATTACATTTACTAGTTATGTTTTATGTAATCGTCTCGCGAAATCATAACAATTGAGAAACATAGTTTTACAGCAAATTCTCAAAATAAGGATCGGGGTCGCGATTACTAATAGATTGCGAGCTTTGTTAATGAGTCAATTGTTAATGAATCATAAAAAAATTTAGAATGTTAAATTACACTTCGTTACTTCTATACAAATTTGCGTGCGCACGTATTTTTTCCTAACTTTGTACATGTATGAAGTTGGATTCTCAACAATGATCAACACCTTTCGATATAAACTACCATTATCAAACTTGTTGCATCTGAAATTAACTTGTGTCGATGTCGAAGCTATCAACAGAAATAGGAAACAAGAGCATTCCTCAGACATACCTCTATAGATCAGAAAAATAGATAATTATAAGATTATATTTAATAAAAAATTAGAAAATAAAAGCAGTATATAGTATAAGCAGGTATAAATAACGTGGTATAAATAATTAATTTACATATCGTACACGGAAAAAAAAGTTTCTGGTTTACAGTTAATTCTGATTAGCTGAAATTGCATTAGCTATTGTAGCTATAAATTTGTTAATACATACAAAGGATGTGCTGCTGTAGCTAATATAAGGACATGATAGCAAAATATGCATGTCTATTACAGATCGATTTATTTAGCAATAAGTTAGTTGTCACAGTTATCGGATATATCCGTGTAAAAGAAAATTGTCTCTACCACAGTTAAATATGGTTTGCTGAAACTGTACTTGCTAACTGTAAATTGTCTGTTACACAGAAAACGTTTGCTGCAATGATCAATACCTCGACATAATAGCAAAATGCTTGTCTGTTACAGTGATAATATTTAGGCCTCACAGCTAATGGAAATTAGACCTCGCAGATATGATGTTAGGTGTCCATATAATGCTTCTGCCATACCTAATTTTTAGCTGTGGCAGCTAATCTTTTTTTTTTTCGTGTACACCTTCTTATATTTACTAAAGCTAGATGGATTCCGAATGTTTGCCATTTTAAAAAGTGGGTCGCGATCTACACAAGTTGGGAAGTCCTACTCTATAGCATATTTAACAGCTTACTAAGGAGTAGCCTTAACGAATCAATTAGCGACGAAGAAGAACGAAAAGGAAAAGGTGGACATAAAGGAAGAAAATAGGAGGATTGAGATCGAGGACGCGATCTTTGCAGGGTCGATGCTAATTTCTGGGGTCGAATCGTGCGCCAACCACGCTCGCGATTGGTCTATGCAAGTGGCGGCCCCTTTTTGTTCTTTTAGCCGAGAATCGCCGACATATATATCTATATACATATATATGTATGTATACATATATATATGGAGCAACCTGGCGACGATCGTGATATGTCAGCCAGCACCCACGCTCCTGCGACTTCAGTCTCGTTTGCCACCTTTGCCGCTAAACCTTTTCGGCCCTGACCTGTCCTATCATCACTTCAGGTCCTCTCTAAATTTATGACTTTTTATCTCACGATATCGGATTACAAATCAAGATTTTTAGCCATAATTTTTTCGATTCTTAATAAAGTCTGTATAAGTAATAAAATAATTTTTGTCGTTCAATTTTCTGCTAAGTAATAAGCATCGCCACGTACAATAAATTGGACTACTAATTTAATCGCATATTTTTCAACAATTCTGATAAATTTTCATACAAAATATACATATAAATTCAAAGACAAATCATTCTTTCATGTATAGATATCATAAAAAATACATTAAAAATATTTGCTTCAGTATCAATATGAATAATTTTTTTATTTTAGAAATTAATTAAAAATTAAAACTTTTTGGGAACTTAGGGCAGTGTTCATAGTCGGGTCTTATATTTTAAGACCGTCTTAAATATAGTCTTAAGAAGTCATGAACCAATCAGAGAACCGTATGTATTAACATCTTATAAAATATTACTTAAAATGGTCTTAAAATAAAAACAGACTATGAATACCATCCTCTTAGTATTTAAAAATACATAAATTGATAACAAAACCTAGCGTAACTATAACGAATTATGATCTATTGCCAATTTTATTCATTAACATTATTATATTATATATCTATACATTAGACTATAAATCTGATAAAAACGGCTAAATTTTTATAAATAAAAATAAGATGAAAAATATGTAGTACTTTATATAAACAAGTGACACATCAAAATTAGATAAGAAAATACTGGAAAAATATTCCACTTACACTATTGACAAAAAATAAAAACTAGGATAGACAGTGAATTGAAAGATGTTGTTTGGGACTATCCGTTATTTTACTATCGCTGATATCATTCTTGCAATGTAATAATATTGTTATTCTAATCGCCCCTTCTCTTTTGCAGAAAAGAAGGCGCGATGGCTGACGATTGCATTCGCCATCCACTACGATCTTCTCCCACTACTAGCACTTTCTGTCCTCCTACTCTGATGCCAGTTGGGCCACCTCTTTCTGAAAATGATGTACCGTCACCGATCATTGGATGCAACTGAAATCAAGGCTATCGATTGGATGCCTTGGATTGGACCTCTAACGCTCACCTAGGAATGTCGCGACCTCGTGTGGAGATGCAGATTAACGTAATCTCCGTACGCATTATCGGATCGCGATCGGCGACGCCTTCGAATTGCTCTATACGAAGGATTTATGTTAATTCTAAATAACCTTCGCTGAAATTAACCGTTTTGCGTAACGTTTAAAGATTTTTCCCCGACTGAGAGGGAGCCTTCAATGCAATCAATTTTTTGTCCAGATCTCACAATTAGAAGTAAACACGTACGATATATCAATATTATAATTCTGCCAATATTAAAATCATGCCTATCTATAGCTGATAAAATAATAATAAACATCATGAAGTAATTAAACATATATGTATATTCGAAGTGTTCATACGTATTCAATGTTGAACATTTAAAAAAAATACATTTTAAAACTCTGTCAATTAATGCACCTCCTTATTTTTAAAATTTAAGGAACAAAGCACAATATTTTTGCAAAGGACAAATTATTTTCTACAAGAAAAATGCTTAAAAATGCAAAAAGCATTTAAAATATTACAATAAAAACACATTACATTTAAAATATATATTACATTTAAAATATTATCTAATTATATATTGTAGCAATTTACTCTTTCTCAGTATTAATTTAAAACATAAATATATTGATACGATAAAAAATTTCTATCGCACAGCTACATCCAAATAATTTATGTGAATAAATCGTATCAGCAATCATCATGATGTCATATTAATATTCCCATAAGAAAGGATTCTATAGGAATATGCTTTGTTTACGTATCATGAAATAATGTTATATCATTCCTAAAGTATTATTAGACAGACCTGTTAGACGATGTCGCTTTTATTGCAATCTTGCTGAAGTTATTCGAGATATGAGGAAGTCTGAACCGACAGGGACGATAGGAATGAACGGTTGATGAGGAGAAAGGTGGAGGGCCGTTAAAGCTACGCGGGGAAAGAAACGGTAGGTAAGAGACAACCGCGAAAAAGTCTGGCAAGTGGAATGTTGGTTAATTTGTAGCAGGTCTAGTCTCCGCATGTATCATACTCTCATACGTGCCGAGACACACCGAGTGTCGCGTGCATGTGCACCATAGAGCGTATATTATTAATTATCATTATATCAAAAACGAATAGTCTTTATGTATTATATAATATTATGTTGCAACATAGGTCATCGACAAACGTCGAAAGATAATTGATTTACCGCGAATCCGTGATTAGTTCTCTATTTGACAAAATTGCGAAACATAAATCATAATGTGATGCAATTATTAATAAAATAGAGAATATTATTAAACTTTAATTTTGATTTTTAAATGTATGATTTCTCTTGATATCTTCTCTCTCTATAAATATATTTGTTGTGTAAAAGAATATTGTATTTTTGTATTATTTTAAAATAAAAATTGTATTATAAAGATTAAGTATAGTACATAAAATAATATAAACTAGATACTAAAAATATTGCAATACGCGCGCGCTAGGTCAATAGTATCATAAATTTGAAGTTATAAATTAATAGTATTTTAATATAAAATGAATATTAATATAAAGTGAATATTTCGAATAACTTTATTATTACTTTTATTGAGGTTATTGATTGACTATCAGATCGATCATTAATAGATGAAATCTATTATACAATAAACTATTTAAATATCTATATATAATTTATATACAATAAAAAAAAGAAATAGAAATCAGTATTATATTTCACTAAGCAACCTATGTGATCAAGTCACTAAGCGAAAGCTTAGCTAACAACAAGCTTTTACCGTACCAGTATTCAGAATACCGGTATATAAGCGGTGTCTTGACTATGGCAGGAATTTATTACTGGACACCGAGAATATGTTACAACGTTTGCGTACTTCGTTATATCAACGCTGTTTTTCCAAAAAACCACGGAATGTATGAGATCTTCGAGACGTAATGTGAAAATGCTTAAAAACATTTATCTGATTATGTGAGTAGATACGCAAGAGGAATAATTACATCGCGCGTTTCATGTTTTATTCTAAAAATAATATACATTTATGCTTTCACACATGATTTTAATCTTGGAAGAATAAAAAATGTAAACTAAGCACATAAAACAGTCAATGAGAAATTGACCAAATGGTACTTACAATCTTATAATACTTTATCGTTCAGATAAAACTATTCTACATAAAACCGAACGAAGAGCTTTCTTCTTGCTCGACACTCTCGTACTCTCGTATAAGTAGGCGATTCAAATGCCGCTCCATGCAGAGAGCTATGAAACGTGAAACAGAGCACAAAAAGAACAATTCACGAGGTGGATGAGAAGGGCACGTAAGGAAGCCGAGTTTACGAGATGATTGTCCTACGGACCCTATTTATTCGACATGAAATCTCCAGGTGGATCTCTATTGTAGATTATTGCGCCATTGTCCATTGTCGCAATCCACAACTGGTCTTTTTGGATCTTTTTGACATAAGTGAAAAAAATTCAGCAAAGATGAAAGAGAGAGAGAGAGAGAAAGATGGTAGCGTTAGATTAAAATGTTCGAAATAATCAAGATTAGGAAGACGCACACAAAATGCCTTTCTTCATTAATTCAATAATATATGTATAATTTAATGTCTTATTATTTAAAATTCAAATTTTTTTAATGCTTTTCATAGTTCGGTATTTAACAAAATTAAACAAATTAGTTTGAATATAAATTTAAATGTTGACTTTATTTCTTCATTTATCCGTAAGTCAATATCACTTCAACATTTATGTAAAAAGTCCTTAATCATGTCTTAATTCCAATTACTTTCCAATTTAAGAGCAAAGTCGATAGGGATGTTAAAATTAACAGTAATTAGCAACAATTAGCAGTATCTTGTGAATCCCGCGTTAGGCGTTTAAGAGAAGAAAATAGCTTGCACGCAACGCGCGAGCGCGGGTAAGGAGGTTTTACGTCCTGCGGGACAAATATCGATGGAAATCGAATGATGCGGAACAGGCACCTGCGTGGGTACAGGCAATTATATATGAATAACTTCGACGAAAAAGTAGCCGATGCGATCGCACACCGACTCCGATCTTATCGACATGGTGTCGCGCGCTGCGCGCATTGCCGAAGGTCCTAAGCCCAGTATGACGATGCAATTATCGATAATTGAGAAATTTTTTTTCAAGTGTAATTCAATATAACGAGCTGGTGCACATTAATTTGATATTATAAGCACTGTCTCCGAACATTCCCGTTATTATATTGCGGTAAGACCATTAACCTCTTTTCGCGATACGCAATTTATGTTTTTTCTTCTTTTTTTTTAGTTACGATGCTCCGTAAATTTCGAAGACAAATGTAATTTGGGTCATATGCTTGGTTTCAAGATAATACTCAAGTTATTCGAGACGCATAAATCATCAGATGTACAATCTCTTTAATTACTCAAATTAATTAAGAAAAGATCAATTGGTGTATATGTATATGATAACATATATGGTATACACATATAAAGATTATTAACAGTAACATATACTTATATATCATCAGATTAAAGTAATTATGTATGAATATCAAAAGTCTTGTACAGTTACTGACGAAAGCCGAAATTCGTTACTTCGAAATCGAAGATTCGAAGCTTCGAAGTTCGAATGTCGAAGCCTTCGAAGCAAATCACCAGCCCTAATTTGGACCCAAAGCAAAAATTTTTGGATCTACAATTATACAATCTGTACGATCGGTACTATAAAGTTCCAAATATTTAAAAAGTTTTGAACCTTCGTCTATCAATAGCCGTAAGGCGATAATTTACTTGCATTTTGTACTTCAAACAAGACGCTTTGAATTTAAGTGTAATTTCCAAAGCTATAGGTAATTGAGGCTAAGCTATCAAAAGCTAGTAGCTAATAAAAATCAATAAAAACATAAATAAAAAAGAATCATGACATAATCCGCATGTTTCAATCACATTGCACGGACATACATATATCTCCACGGTAATTCGAGAAACATAACTCAAGTCCTGATGAACCGCATGAGTTTTTCGCAGTATACCGCCGCGACGCGACGTGTCGACTTTCCTTTTGCTATTTTAATTGTCTTTTTCCTCCTCGTTCGTTCTCTCGACTCGTCAACTTTACGGTCCTCTATGTCTTTCTTTATTGAGTATACGCGATGACTTTTCCCTGCCGCGCGCATATTACCACCTTTCAATCGTGTGAAATGACCTTTACAAGGAGATTGTATCACTGCGACAAGTGTCGTGATATTTGAATTTTAAAATATTCGGTTTCTTCATAGCACAATTAATAATTGAGTCAATAATTGAGTCAATTGAATTATTATAATTCACAATGGCGCGATTAATAATTACATTTCCAGTACTTAATTTATTAGAAAATTTTATTTATTAGAAACTATAAACGAGAACTGTTAATAAACTTGAAATGAGATCTGCGCATTCAAAGAAATTTAAAACAGATCGACAATCGATATTTGACAAATTATTTGCGGCGAAATTTATCGAGGAATTTATGTTATATCTCTAACGCTGGAATATTCTTTTTTATTATATTATTTTTATCAATATTATACCTACGTCAGAATGATTCAATAGAGAGAAATTTAAACTATATTGAAGTCAAAAACTCAAAATTGATCACAAACAGTAATTTTTATTTGTAATCATTCGAGTTTAATTCGCGTTATTTTACAAATATTAAATATAAATTTTTAGGAAATTAATATGGAGAAATTACGAAACAATAAAAATAATCTCCTAAAAGTACCAATAGAAATTGTTTTGCTAGTTAAAAACGATCCGAAATCGAGAGAATTAGAATTACATTTCCAATGTATAATCCAAATCAGGAAAATATATGAATTACACACTTACCTTATCAAGCCGGTCTCCTTTTGCTTGCCAATGAGGAACGTCAGTACACCATCAGTCATCTGATTCGCCCATGGTGGTTTTACCCAAATCAGGTTCTTAAGATGACCCGCGTACGCTGCAGGCAGAATCCAATTCTCGATGCTAATCTCACTGAAAAAACAAAATGCTTATTATAGATAATTATTTGCTTATAAAATTCCTTCACAGATTAAAGCTGTATCTTCATATGTTTTTTCTTTTCGCATTTCGCGGTCTACATTATCAAAAGTGCATATTAGTAGGTACTTGAGAAATAATATGTTTAATATGTTTAGATTATGTGCAAATCTAAATATGTTTAAATTATGTGCAAATCTAAAAATATATTGATGTTTTTACATTTGTACCATAATTAAATGATACTAATCTAATAAATTACTTCTGATATCCTTTGTTTCTAATATTTAAATTAATTCAGACAAATTCTACTTTAGAAATGATAAAATAACTAATAAAAACAACAAAATAAGATAAACTTGAAAAATTGCTTAATTTCGACAAATTTCAAGTCAATAACAATGATAGATATAAAAATATCTAAAATAATAAAATAAGAGACTTGCTTACTCTTGCATCTGTACCTACACAATTTTATCGATACCCAAGCAAAACAACAAGTCACGTTAATATCAAAATGACATTAAAGTGAATCGAAAATGATTGAAAAATGACTTTTCATGATCATTTTGAAGTTATTTTGATATCATTTTGATATCATAATGACTTGCTGTTCTGCCTGGGTATCAATAGAATTTAATGAGATTGGTAATGTAACTTTACTTTTTACATTTAGTACTTATTTTTATATATACGCATGTGAAATAGAACAATGTGCGATTTTTTCAAATTCTGTGTTGTTTCAATGATATAATTACCTGTTATATTTTTATAAAATTATGATAGAAATTTTATAAATAATAATTTTATAATAATAATAATTTCATATTAGTACATTTATTTAATTATTATAGTAATTGTACCACAAAATTGATATTCAACTGTTATAAAAAATACATTGAAATTGATGTTTGATAATAAAACTTTTATTGTTGCAAAGAAATGAAAAATACAATTCAAATGTTGGTAGGATTAAATGCGAACTCCTCGAAATTGAGCTGATAGCCATCTTTGATAAATAATTTGATTTCTCGGATATCGATGCATTATACAAGGTGGCCCACGTAAAATGTTACAAACTAATAACTCTAAAAAGATTTGTGCTATGAGAAAGTTTCTCATGAACAACTTTTTGATAGGATAAATATTTTTCGAGTTATTAGCTTGTAACACTTTACGTACACCACCTTGTATATTTAATTCGTAAGAATTCGATTCAAGTTTCTTCGCATGCCAAAGGAAAATCATATTCGATATCCTTCACTGAAGGACAAATATACAAAATCTACAAATGTAATTGTTATATGTATCTATATACGTACCTGAACAATTGATTCTTGTCCCACACCGTATCGGCCGGCATCTCCTTCGGTATCAGCATATCGGGATGCGAATCCAGATGTACAAAGGTGTTACCTTCGAAGGGCAGATGCTTCGATCCCATACACCGATATATAAACGGTAAAGCCTACGAAAATATCATGAACACAGAGCATTTATCAAATATTTAATTCATTTAAAAAATGAATCTATTCTCCAAAATGAAGTGCAACGGTATCACTTACGCACAAACGGTATTTTGTATCCGTTATCGTTTGCGTTAATCACGCTATCCTTTTCTTAACTAGTTGTTAAGAAGAATATAACCTGACCTTAGCGTTCACTGTATCTGGATAAATGCTATTGCAAAAACTCCCTAATAACGTGAATCCAGATACGGTGAATGTTATAAAGTCACGTTATCCTTTTCTTAATTAGTTGTTAGACGAAGTTAACGTAATCTTTATAGCATACTCCTTATAGAAGTATCTAGGTTGCTTTTGATTACTATACCAGAAGCACGCCAAAAATCGCCTTAGATAAACGATAATGGCTACGTTTACACCGTGCGTTTAGTCCGCGACCTATACGATAGGTGTCTTTATTTAATATACAGGCTAAACAAGGACATCTATCGTATAGGTCGCGGACTAAGCGCACGGTGTAAACGTAGCCATTGCAAAAACTCCCTAGTGTATAAATGATTCTTTTTACTATATCAAAAGATAATTTTTGAGGCGTGCTCTAGAAGAATACAAAAATATATAACCTACGTATATATATATAATATAATTACTCGAAAATATATATTGTACAATATATAATATGTATACAATGGTCGCG